CAGTGGAGTAAATTCACCTGTAATACTTCGGCTATGGTATGGTTTTAAGTAGCATCTGAGCTCTGCGAGCCCTAGTAATAATAGCACTATAGCAAGACTATAAGATTGCTCTGAAGAAATTACTAGAATTTTGCTGTTTGTAGTATGCCTAAGATATAAATGCTAAATTCGTACTTTTCACAATACACCAGAAGAACTGTAGAAAAAATTGGGAGAACAAAAAGATGAAGTCGTAAGTGGCAGCTAAGCAAAGGAAGCTTGATTAACATTTCGAGACACATCTCCTTTCGTAAATGTTGAAAGTTTATAAATGAAATGAGGTTTTTAATTTTCATTTACGCCTTTGACTCTCTTTCATAGAAGCGATTGTATGTGTTTAAGAAGTCATGCGGGACCTCTTAAACGCTCTCGATTCACCCAAAAGATAAAGTACAGCTTTCATAGAGCTGAGAGATAACACTTTCTGGACGTCACCCATAGCATAGTTGGTCGTCAGTCTCTATACTATAATCATAATATTGTTGAAATGTTGAGCATAACGTTCTTAGAATCTAGTTCATAAACGTGCGCTTACTGTTGAATTTGTAGAGAAATTGCATTGCGTCATTAAACCTGGGAATGTTTGGACCGTAACGTGGAAGATAGTGGTGAAGAACAACAAAGAGGTGTACCCAAAAAAACAGTACTAGCGAGCAATTTTAGTAATTGCATAAATTAGGAAATCAAGAGAAAAGGTTTTAGCCAAGTCATAGGTCGTTTTGGTGCTATGATCAAAGCTTTTCGAAGAACAAAGAGCGCTATTGTCTTTCTATTATCCATACGGCTTGTCTTTGAACTTCTCTTGTTTTACCTGAAGTAGAGTAAACGAAAAAGGCTAATCGCGCTTCTTCTAGGATCCAGTTTGGGCTTACATGTACAGAATGACTATTTTTTGCCGTCGTGTATGAGTCATAGTTTGTTTCTAAATAATCCGGTGTTATTACCCTATCTATTGGCCTCTGTTCACTATAGGTATCATCGCTTGTTTTGTCCAGATTGTTTTTTTTTTCTGTCTGCAAAATTTCAGCGACTTTTCGTATATAAATATAAAAATTGTGTGCATGAAATTTCAGATGAAGCGCATCTTTGGAACGGCAAAGAAGGAACCACCACCAGATCTCAACAGCGCAATCGCTAATATAGAATCACGAGGTGAAAGCATTGAAAAAAAGATACAGAGGTTGGATGGTGAATTAGTGAAACTGCGAGACCAAATGGCTAAGATGCGGGAAGGGCCTAGCAAGAATATGGTCAAGCAGAAGGCTTTGAGGT